TTTGGTTGGGGGGGTTTTTTTATTTTTTTTTCTAAGCCAGCAGCGAACCAGCGCGCAAAGGCGCCGCCGAGCAACCTGGGGCAGCGCTGCGAGCCGGCGGCGGGACACAGCTGCCGCTCACCCCCCGGCCCGGCCCGGCCCGGCCCGGCCTGGCCCCCGCCCGCGGCCACCCCGGAGGAATTCCGCTCTTGCACTAAAGCCTCAAACTGTTTCAAACCAAGGTGAGACTTTAGCAGCCCTCCTCCTCTTACAAGTTTCCCTGGGAAGCGGGTGTGGTGGGGGGCGGGGAGGAGTAGGTAGCTGGGACTTGCTGCTGCTGCTCCGATTCCCTCCGGGTGTCACATTTAACACTGCCTTTTGAAGCCGCTGTGAAGTTGCCAAGTCTTTATTCGACATCAGAGCCTCCCCAGATCTGCTGCCCCCTGAGAACTTCCTAGACCCCTTCCTCTTCTTTGGCATGGGGTGGGGGGAGGGAAAAAAGGGAGAGGAGAGAGAGCCTAATCTTCATGACTGTGCCCACAGGCATCTACACCTCTAGGGCTGCAGCCAAGGGCAGCCTCATAATAAAACACAATCAGATTAGCCTGACCCCCATATAAGCACTTCCTATTTCGTTTTAGGAGACACCAAGCTTAACTATTTTGCATGTTGGGCATCAGGTTTCAGCTGTTCTGATTTCTGACATGCTCCCCCCACATCCTCCCTCCCCCCCACACACAACTCCAGTGTTGAGGTGTGTGATCTGCCCTCACCCCGCTGCTTTCCGTTTATGGTCTGAAGTGGCCTGAAGGTGGACATGTGGAGAAGGGTGGCAGGGGAGGGAGAAATGATGTGGAGTCAGTGGATGCGGTTATTAAAGCCTCTGAAAGAGCCTGTAGTCTTCATCAGGATTATTAATGTCTCTCCTGTCACCAAATCATCATGACTACTGGAACAGAGGGGGGAGGGAGTGTGTAGACAAGGCTAGCAGTTCATAACCCAGATTACGCCCTCCTATCTTATCTAAATCCATCAGTGTGAGAATCATTTACCTCCTCTAAAATGAATGCTGCGTGTTGCTGTGGTTCAAGACTAGCAATTAAATAACCTCACCAGTTAAAGGAATTCAAAGCGGGGATGAGCTGGGCATTTCAGCTTGCTATCCAACACTATATTAGCATGTCATGCCTGAGATAAGGCCAGCCATGTCAAAAAGTGGTCTAAATTTTACCTGCCGAGTTTGAGAAATGCTGTGCCTTCTTTGCAGGACTGCTGAGAGCCCACAGTTCAATATTTGATCTCAAGTGAGTCACCCCAAAACTGAGACCCAAAATGAGAAAACTGTACTAAAATGAGGCAGAAGTGTTTCTTAAAAGAGGTAGTTTACCAGCATTTCAGCTGGCAGCTTGCAAAGAGTATCATACTCACAAACAAGCCTGCAAAACTTAATGGACATTTCCCCCCTTTTCTTAATGTCATTTCCATAACCAACAGTCCTAATAATTCTGAATACTTGCAACTGACTTCCAAGATGGATCAGATAACCCTTCTGTTAAAACCATCAGAAAAATGCTAACATAATGACCTGTCTTTACTTGTATGATATATTGTACTGATAATCATTTGCCCGTATGTTGTCCTACAGTGGGAGTTTATGTCTCTCAGCCCCCAAAGCTAACTTAACACTATTTTTGATGTGTACAGATGTGATATTTTGATCTAAAAAAATTCACAGATCACTTACTTAGTTTAAATCTTTGACTTCATTTAGTTTATCACTGCATGAAGTAGATTTTGTTAATTGTTCTGTTAAGCAAATCTTGTTCTGTATACAGGAACATATATACCTACCATTCCAGCATTAATTTTCCCTGAGGTGGTTATGGACAACAAACAAAATAGATCCTTATAAAACATACCTTTACAGACACATACTTGTATTAAAAGTAGTAGGATGTACCAGTTGTTTTTTTAACCACAGAAGACAACTACAAAATATGATTCCAACATGCCAATCTCTCGAGTGAGATGATAATTAAATATTCGCTCTCCCTCTCTCTCTCTCTCTCTCTCTCTCTCTCTCTCTCTCTCCAGTAGGAGATTAACTCCCAGCAAGGTACACACTGACGTCACCCTTAGCCTCCAGCCAGCAATCTGCCCCCGACCTCAGCATCACCATCAGCATCAAAACAGCATCAGCCATGGCAGGCTTCAAGACAGCTGGCCTTGCAGAACTCTGACCAAGATAAGGAGTCCCAAAGTCAGTGCTGCCAAAGACAATAGAGGGGAACGCCACATAAATATATGAGGTGTGAATGTAAGCAGAGAATCAATTAAATGTGTTTTACAAATTCAGGAAGAGATCTGTTTTGTGTTTCTGATCCAGAGCTGCTACAAATTAAACGAACTTTCAGATTTCAATATAGAGGCTCTGCAATTTATTGTCACTCTATACCATTTGGATACAGTAGCATGAGTGTTGTAGGGGGAAAAAACAAGCTAAGAAAGAAACTAGCACCTACAACAGTCACTTAAAAAAGTCTTGTTTTCATTAAAAAAAATATTTTCCTCAGTGTCATTAATTAAATCACATCCTTTATGAATAAACTTCACAAAAGTGAAAGCTTTCCAGTATTCAGAGCTGGTCATATTCTTTCAGGTTGCAGAGTTTAACAAGATATGGGTAAGAATTTATTTTTTCATCTCACACATTCATGTCTACCATTCCAAAATGCTCACAACTCTGACAGTCCATCTGACAACACAGTCAATCAAACTCCATCCTACGGCCGTTTCCAAAGAAACCCACACACAGCCAGAGAGACAGACTGCATAAGCTGGAAGGAAACCAACCAAAAGGAACACAACAGCAACACCAACAAAAAACCTAACGTGCATCATTTTTGCTTTCCCCCAAATTTCTGAATTCTTGAATAATTTATCATGAAATCAATATTGGAAACTGTTGTAATATACAAAACAAGTGGTAATGGCATTTTTTTTTCATCTTGTCTCATTACAGGACTAACTTGAGGCACTTCCTCTCCACTCTCACAAAATGCATTAAACAAAAACATGCCTCACCAGTTATGGAACTCAAGTGTTTACACCTTCTCCTCATCCTTTGTCCATGAGATTCCTGCTTAGGATTTAGTCTTGCACTCTCTTCTACGTAGGTAGATCTCTATACTTCTACAGAATGCAATATGGTCTTTTTGAGAAGAATGAGATTACTCGTAAGCTCTAAATTGAGCATATTCCTAAATAGTTGCATACACAAGGATCCTCCGGACTGGGATCTTGGCTGGAATTTTCAAGAGGGGCTAGAGGAACAAAATTCAGAAGATGGTAAACTGCCTCCCTTAATTTGAAAATCCCAGTACTGTTGAAGCAATACAAATAATAAATTATATTAAATGAATGTTGTTCTCTTATTTCTTCTTTCACTGATAAGACAGTGAGGTTGAAGGTAAAACAGCACTGCCACACAACAGATAAACACAGACATATATGCACATATAAACAAAAACTACACTTAAAGAACAATAAGGTTGTTAATTCAAGCGTTCAAAAAAATAAGAAAATGCCAGAATTAAGATTACTCTCGTGTCCTTAATTTGCAACCCCCCAATTTCTGCATACATGCCTTATGAAACAGTTTTTAATTTCATGTTCACATGCAAGTTTTGTACGGGACTCCTATATATAGAATATATGGTACTCACTTGATGAATGGTTCTTCAATATTGTATTTTGTCTTCTCTTTATTATGTGCTGCCTTCCCTTGTTCACTGCATGTTCATATACAGAATGACTTTCTTGTGAGCTGTTTAATGATCTTCATCCCTATTGTATTTGAATACTTTTCATATATTAACTTATTTTCATTATACAATTTGAGATGAGAGGATATTGTCCCTATAATACAGGTAGGGAATGGAAACGGATGAATTAAAATTAAAAGTAACCACTAATTTTGGATAATTGAGAAACCTAGGCTTGAGTTTTAAGAGATTTCACCATTTATAGAGCCACATATATTATGAACGTGGCTCCCATTAATTTTTGCTGGAGATTTTGTCAGTTCACAGCTCAGCGTTTCTTCAAAATCATACTGAAGCGTTTCAGATCAGGCACCCAGATAATGAGAAGCAAATAATTAGTTAAAAGGTATAGTCTATGACTCAACTAAGAATTCTGTGGTAAAAGAAAGGATAGAACCCAGGCCTGCTTTCCACCATTAAACTGTCCCTTTCTTTTCCTACAGTCACATCCTTATTTAATCTCACACTTCTCAGTTTCTACAGCAAATGAGCATGGGGTCCCACAAGCAACATACCACCGGTTCATCTCCAGAACAGATTTATGCTGCTGAATGAAACAGGTTCTGTGGAAAAATGATTACACAAAGTTATAGATCATGAAGTTAAAGTTTCAATATAATGCATACACATAAGGGAGTCAAGATGTCACACATCAACTATAATACTTGTATTTCCTAATTTTTTAGTTTACTGTCATTTTAGTATTTTAGAATCATAGAAAATTAGGATTGGAAGGGACCTCATGAGGTTATCTAGTCCAACCTGCTGATCAAAGCAGGACCATACCCAACTATTTCATCCCAGCCAAGGCTTTGTCTACTCAGGTCTTCAAAGCCTCCAAGGATGGAGATTCCACAACCTCTCTGGGTGGCCTATTTCAGTGCTTTACTACCCTCAGTGCAAAAATTCTTTTGTAATGTCTAACTTAAACTTCCCTTGCCACAACTTGAAACCATTGCTCCTTGTTCTGTTACTTGCCAGCACTAAGAACAATCTAGCTCCATCCTCTTTGAAACCACCCCTCAGGTAGTTAAAGGCTCCTTTTAAATCCCCTCCCAGTCTTCTTTTCTCCAAAAGCCCAGTTCCCTCAGCCTCTCCTCACAAGTCATGTTCCCGAACCCTTTAACCATTTTTGTTTCCCTGCACTGGACTCCCTCCAATTTGTCCACATCCTTTCTGTAGTGGTGGGCCCAAAATTGGACACAGTCTTCTAGCTGTGGCCTCACCTGTGCCAAATAGAGAGGAATAATCATTTCCCACAATCTACTGGCAAAGGTCCTACACAGGTTCAGTCCACTATGCCATTAGCTTTCTTGGCAACAAAGGCATATTGTTAGCTCATATTCAGCTTACTGTCCACTGTAACCTCCAGATCCTTTTCTGCAGACCTGCTTTTTAGTCTGTCAGTCTCCAACCTGTACTGGTGCATGGGATTGTTTCATCCAAAGTGCAAGACTTTGAACTTCTCCTTATTGAAATTCATGAAATTTCTTTTGGTCCAATCCTACAATTTGTCTAGGTCTTTCTGAATCCTAGGCCTACTCTCCAGCACATCTATTTCCCCACCCAGCTTGGTGTCATCCTGACACCATTCCTGAGGGTGCACTCCAACATCTTCATCAACCATCTGGAAGACTGGATGAACAAAACCAGCCCCAGGACCGAACTATGGGGCACTCCACTTGATGCCACCTGCCAACTAGATATGGAGCCATTGATTACTATTCTTTGAGTCTGATGATCCAGCCAGTTTTCTACCTTACAGTTCATTCATCTGTCCCATATTTCCTTAGCTGGCTTGTGAGAATGTTGTGGGAGATCATACCAAAAGCCTTGCTGAAGTCAAGGTACACTCTGTCCACATGCACAGAGCCAGTCATCTCATCATAGAAGGCCATCAGATTGGTCAGGTATGACTTGTCCTTGGTGAATCCATGCTGACTCTTCCTAATCACCACCTTCTCCTTCAAGTGCTTAAAAATAAATTCCTTGAGGACTGCTCCCCAATTTTTCCAGGGACTGAGGTAAGGTTGACCAATCTATAGTTCCCTGAATCCTCCTCCTTCCCTTTCTTAAAGATGGGCACTGTATTTGCCCTTTTCCAATCATCAGAGACTTCTCCAGCCACCATGACTTTTCAAAGGTAACGGCCAGCGGCTCTGCAAGCACGTCAACCAATTCCCTCAGCATCATCAGGTGCATCCTGCCTGGCTCCATGGGTTTGTACACATACCATATTTACTCAGATATAAAATGAGGTTTTCCCCCCCTCAGTCAGCATGGGGAAAAGTCCTTTGTGTTATAATCACATACAAAGTGGAGGGAGGGGGCAGGCAGCTGCCATAGCTCTGACTCTGGCCCTAACCTGGATCACGACCAGAGTCAGACCCACAGCAGTCCCCTCCCCTGCCTCTGCAACTTCTGCCCTCCCCACCCATTCCAGCACTGCTGCATGCCCAGGTAAGAACTGAGTTTCCATATGCAGTGGTCAAGAGCAGCTTGAACAACATCTGACAGTAAGGGCAGGAGGGTGGTGAGAAGAGAAGAGGCAGGGACTGAGGAGTTGAGGGGGGAGGGTCAGAGGCTGAGGGAGGAGGGGCAGAAGCTGTGGAGAACTGGGGTGCGGGGAGTTCAGGTGGCGGGAGGGGACAAGAAAGCTATAGGGGGAAAGAAGTGGATGAGGCAGGGGGCCACCTGATACCCCTAGGCACTGCTTTGGTGGGGGTGGGGATTCAAGACAACCCTCCAATACTTATATTCTATATCTGGGAAGTTAAAATAATTTTTAAAATGTTCCACATATTGAATCTAATTATGGGAGGGTTCATCTTATATTCAGGGTTATTTTGTATTCAAGTAAATATGGTAGCCCCTCACCTGTCCTTTCACCACCATCTGCTGCTCACCTCCTCTCCGAATTGTGCTGCCAGGTTCAGTCATCTTGTATCTGACACTGCCTGTGAAAACTAAGGCAAAAAAGAAATTGAGTGCTATAGCTTTTTCTGCATCATATATCACTAGGTTGTGTCCCCGATTCAGTGAAAGACCCACATTTTTTCTGATCTTTCTCTTCCCTAGGCAAGTCAAAGTCTGTTTTTCTGAAGTCCAGGGTCCTAACTTTGCTGCTCTCTTCCTCCTTTTCCTCAGGATCCTGAACTCAATTATCTCATGGTCACTACTGCCCAAGTTGCTATCCACTACTATTTTCCCCACCAATTCTTCCTGGTTTGTGAGCAACAGATCAAAAAGACTACTGCCTCTAGTGGCCTCTCCAACACTGGCACCAGAAAGTTGGCCCTAATACACTCCAAAAACTTCCTGGATTGCCCGTCCACTGCTGTATTTCCCTCCAAGCAGATGTCAAGGTGATTAAAGTCCCCCATGAGAACCAGGGCCTGTGACCTGGAAATTTCCACTAGCTGTTTGAGGCCTCTTCCACCTCATCCTGCTGGTCTGGTGGTCTACAGCAGATACTCATGACAACATCACCTTTGTTGTTCTCCCATCTGACCCCAACCCAGAGACTTTCAACAGGCCTATCTCCAGTTTTAATGTCATTTTATGTACAACTGCTAAGTTCTGAAAGAAAGGAAACTGAAAAAAATCACAGACCTTATCATGTAGCTTCATACTGACATCCACACGATTCATCTCCAGGATCTGAAATTTCAGATTTGCTAAATACAGCTGTGCTACTTGAGTTAACAGAAAAACTGAAAGCTGGTGGGTAGCAGCTCTAAAAGGGGCAGAGATGGCCAGTATTTGCCAGCCACAGAGAAATGGCAGGATCCAGAATCTTGGTTCCATTCCAAGCTCCGGAGGTAGCATCCAGGGTGGGCACAGATTCATTTGCATATTCCTACCCATTTTGCCTCCTTATCTTCAGCCTGTCCTTCTCCTACTCCTGGCTCCCCATCTTAGACTCATTTCCCCATCTATCAAGTCTCAGTATCTACTTGACACTGTTCTCATTCCAGTCCCAGTCTTCTTGTCCAGCAAGTCTTAGAATCATCCTTCAGGACTTACCACCAGCTCAGTCTCTCACATTCAGCTCTTCATGCAGCTCTTCTCACCCCTCTACCCACCCTAGTCCATTCAGCTTTAGCCATGAACGCCACGTGTCTCCGGTGGCTGGGGGGGCACAGCGAGCTCCTGCAGGTGGCAGTCATGCTGTCAGCGGCAGGAGTGTGGTGGAGGTAAGTGGGGAGCTGCCACAGGCAGCCACAGTGCTGTCAGCAGCCAAGGCGGGGGACAGGATTGGCAAGTGCTGACCAGTGGTCAGCGACCACCCACAAATACCGCTGGTAGCAGCAGCAGCAGCCAGCAGTGATCATGGACTGCCCACAGACACCACCAGCAGTGTCAGTGGCAAGGGGTGGAGTGGCAAGCAGCGACTACCTGCAGGCACTGCTGACAGTGTCAGCAGAGCCTTTTTGCAGGGGGTGCATCACCATGGTCAGAGGGTGCATGTGCACCCACGTGCACCCCCTACATGTCGCCAATGGCTTCAGCCTTCTCATCCAACCAGGTCCAGCATCCCACAACATAGTCCAACACCAATTCTCAGTTTTCCCTCTCTCCATTTTGCTAGCTTCCA